AAGTATCTGGTATCAGAACTAGACTGAGAGCCAATGGAAATCAAACTTGGACCAAAGAACTGAGCTGTCTGAAGTCAAATGATTTTCATTGGAAGAAATGCTATGCATTGAAGTTCAGCAATGAAAACTGTCAGTCCTCAAGTCTAACCTAAGTACCACTGGAAGTAAAACATTCAGTGGTAGTTCTGAGTGATCAAGTGAGTTCCTTCTTAGATTTCACTTTTACAGGTAATGAGAACAAGATTTCGTCTTACTCTAGAGGTCATGCTTAATTTCGCTGGAAGCCAAGCAGAAAAGCTGAGGAGTCTGAATTTAGTGGCTGTTGTTAATGTTTAACAGCAGGATTCATGTTCCTCCCATAATCAGACCAACTTTTGGGTGTCGCACCATGCTGATACTGTCAGGGCACTGTCATTATCCATTTGCAGACAATTCTGTTCAATTTCTACATTGAGAACTAATGGGCAGATATTTTGATTTTGTTGGCTTTACCACATAAACACATAAGTAATGAAAAGAAGGCCTGAGCTGACTAATTTAAACTGGAATTCCAATTGTTCCTCCTTATTTATTGCTTCACAAGCTGGAATTCCGCTAATGCTAAATTTTGTAGAATCATAAAACCAAGCATGCGTGTCTAATTTCTATTTAGAAAAATAGGCTTTTAATGGAATGGTTCATCCAAAAGGGTGGGATAGTGGGTGGTGAAGAGAAAGTGCTAACAAGAAGGGAGTGGAGGAATTGTTGCCAGATACAGTGCAGTGGTCTTGGGGAGGTGATAGATAGGGCGTATGTTACTATATGTATGCGTGTGTGTTTTTATATATATATTCTATGTGTCATGAGGAGGAATGATCGGTGGTTGTGGTTGTGTAGAAAGAAGAAGTGCTCACAAGAGACTCCCAGAGCACTTAGTGCTGCTAACAAAACATACAAACTCAATCTCACTCCCAGCCATTTCTCTTTCACTTAACACACATCGATATTCACCCACCAGCAGAGACACACAGACTAGGAGACAGGAATATCTGCTCCTAATGCTTTTCATTGTTGTACCATATGTTTACAATAACTATCAAAATGGTTATTAGTTGAAAAATAATACATTTTTTGCAGTGAGATTGTCTTTGTTGAATTTTCTCATCTGATTTCAGTGTCCCCCATCCTTCCTGCTCCTCTGGGACACAGCTGTGGAGGGTGTGTGTCTGTGTGTGTTTCTGCATGTTAGGATTTATCGCTGTCTGTCCATTTGCGTATGTGTGTATACGTGGATGTGTCTGTGACCTTGGGGAAGGAAGTGGTCGCGATGTGATGTCAGCTTCTCCCCAGTTGGATTTTCCAGATGATGTGATCACCATCTTTTATCAAGCGTGTGTCCATGGGTGTATGTGTGTTTCTGGGTGGCGCCAATCAGTACAGACAAGATGGAGATATCAAGGGTGGCAGGCATGGCAATATGGTCTCCCACAGGAACGAGAATAGGAAATTGAAGCCAAATGAAGATTGAAATGAACTTAGTGCTCTCAGAAAGGAAGCACAATGATGGAGATATTAGTGGTGATATTGTTGGTTGACCATGTTTTTGTTTCTGATGATGATAAAGATTACAGTTGGGTATTTGGTCAAATTAGAATGAGGTTATGCAATACCAGATCTGCTGCGTATTTGTGTGTGTGTGTGTGTGTGTGTGTGTGTGTGTGTGTGTGTGTGTGTGTGTGTGTGTGTGTGTGTATGCATGCATGCATGCATGCGTGATGTACCAGGCTTAGTGCTTTCTAAAAGCTGTTCTGCATTAGTTGCCCTCACTCACACACACGCACAGACAGATGGGCAGAGGGACGGATGGAAATGGATAGAACGTTGAATAGATGCATAGAAATACCGACCACCCTGATTATAATGCTAAATGAAAATCTCAGATTTTAGATTATGTTTTTGTAGTTCTCATCTGTGCATTATTCTCCTGCACTTAGAATACATTTGTAATATTATTGTGCTGTAAATCACTCTGAGTAACAATCTCCTTCTCTCCAGGTAACAACTGGCAGTTTGCATTCAATGTCAAGTTCTACCCTCCTGACCCCTCACTGCTCACTGAAGACATTACCAGGTACACGCACGTATCCACGCGCTCACACACATACGCACACACACACGTCAGAGATGTACCATTGTTTACTTAAATCTAGGGCAATGGAACAAGCTGTAAACACAACACTGACATATTATCACCAAGTTGTTATAGAAAGCGTGTTAGGAAACAGTTGCCTACCTGCACAGACACAGAGACATTAGTATTCGTTTGGAGTTGTGTTTCTTGCTGCCTGACAAATGTAAGTGTTAACATTCACTCTCCTTTTAGCGCAGTTTTTAGTCTCCACCAGCCTCAGAAAAATATCTGTTGCGCAGGCAGCATACAGTTGATATACAGTATCTGCGATATGAGGTAAATAGGTGACAGTGAGCAAAATCATTAAAGTAACAGGTTGTCAAAACAAAACAATAAGATGTAAAAAGGTTAAAATGATCTATAGAGCCGAGGGAACTGCAGAAATAGGCAATAATTCTCCACATGACACCTTTGATTGTCAATGTAAAAATATTGATTGGTGCAAAATCAGTACACTGTAGCCATGCCCAACAAGCTCTGCAATAAACAGAAGTTTAAAAAAGGTATTGTGCACATCTTAAATTCATTTGTATTTAGACATATGCACACACACACACAGGCATGCTCCAAGTACACAGCATTTAGGGTGAAGTGTATGTCTAATGGAGCGAACAACTTCTCTGATGGTTGAAGTGAAAAAGGCTAATTGAGGACACACAAAAACACACTCACTAACATGCATATACTCACTTAGACAAGTAGCAACAAAGGACCAGCACTGGGTGGCTACAGGAACTGCTGTTGTTCCTCCAGCACTATCGAGGTATCATTCTGCCTATTTATCTTTTGTTAAGTTTCAATAGGCAGATTAATTGTTACTCATAGCTATTTTTCACAGGGTTTTACACAGACGGTACTATGTTGATTCACTTACAGTAAATACAAGATTGTCCTGGTGCAGTACACTGGCTCAGTGAAGAGAAACCCTGGAGCTAGATGACTGAGGTTTAAGCCTCCGTGTCAGCAAGTGTTGGTCCTGCTGAGGTGACTTTGAATGACATTTTTCAGTGACCAGAGTGATACATTTACCAGCACCCTGAGGTGTCTGCATCAGTCATACAGAAGCTCCACACACGAAATGAATTCTTCCATAGAGATTTACTGCAGAGGAAAGCTGACTCTGCTGTAAATCCACACGACCACCAGACAGTTCACTTAACTGCAAACATACATGTTACGCAACTGAGTTTGTGTATGTGATGGTGAGGATTAGACATAAGGTTATTCCAACAAACCAGTGTACCAGCATACTAAGAACAGTGCGCAACAAATACAGCACCAACGAAGACGTTTAATCCACACCAGCTGACCCTGCGCTTGGGCCTCACAGGAGGAGAGGCAATTTGGCTACACAGTTCATTTTATTATTATCATGACTGAATGGGCTGGTTTTAGTTCAAAGAAAGGCCTACATCTTTTTTTCTTCTCATTGTGAAAAGACTTCAGTTCACTGAAAAGCAGTCCTTCTCTCCATTTCCCTTTCTCGTAGGTACCTGTTGTGCCTGCAGCTCCGTGAAGATGTGGCTTCTGGTCGACTGCCTTGCTCATTTGTCACTCACGCTCTGCTGGGGTCATACACATTGCAGGTACAGTACTGTGTGTGTGTGTGTGTGTGTGTGTGTGTGTGCGTGCGTGCGTGCGTGCGTGCGTGCGTGCGTGCGTGCGTGCGTGCGTGCGTGCGTGCGTGCGTGCGTGCGTGCGTGCGTGCGTGCGTGCGTGCGTGTGCAGTGCATCTGCAGGTGGGTAAGGAGCTACCAAATGTGCAGTTTCCAGATGTGACCTTGTCTGCTTCTGTGTCTAGGTGAATTGACTGTCCTTTATTGGTTTACAGGCAGAGCTCGGTGACTGTGAACCCGACCAGCCTCGGCCGCTGGACTACATTAGCCAGCTGACCTTTGCTCCCAATCAGAACAAAGAGATGGAGGAGAAGATTCTTGAACTCCACAAGTCCCACAGGTCAGAGAGAACAGGCTCTTGTAGTTGAGGGAAAACAACGTCTGACAACATTTGTCATTAAAAGCTGTAGATTTGTCTTATTATTGTAACCTCTAGTACATCGATCATGACTGAATCTTTTTAATGTACTGTATGATCTGAACATTTTGGGTTTATGCCTTTATATTATTTTTAATCTGAGGATGTTTGTAGTAAATTGGCTTTTGTGTGTTTAGGGGAATGACACCAGCACAGGCTGATGCCCAGTTTCTAGAAAATGCCAAGAAACTGTCCATGTATGGAGTGGACCTGCACCATGCTAAGGTACAAATGAATCCTCCTCTCCTCTCCTCTCCTCTCCTCTCCTCTCCTCTCCTCGTTATCGACATCTGGGGAGTAGCAGAGTTTCTTTGATGTAGGACGAATGTGCCACTGTGTCTGCATGTTTGTGTCACTGTATCTGTGTGGTTGTGTGTGTGTGTGTGTGTGTGTGTGTGTGTGTGTGTGTGTGTGTGTGTGTGTCAGCTGTACAAACACTCAGGGAGGCCATTGCCATGGGAACAGCCAGTCTCTCTCTCACTGGGATAGCAGGCCATCAGCAGAGTGCGTGCATGTTTCCATGTGTGTCTGAGTATGTTTGTGTGTCTTTGTGCAAGACAGGCAGAAAATATAGGAGAAATATGCATGAGAGAGGGAAAGATGGAGTCTTTAAATAGAAAGAGAGGATGTGAGGTTGAGGACAGTGAGGAGTGACAAAGAAATGGAGGACGGAGACGAGGTTGGAGTGAGACGGGGACAGATCCTTTAAAGATAGAACGAGACGAGTCCCCTTTAAGGGCATGCTCCACTTGTTTGCAACACAGAGACAGAGAACCAGGGGAAAAGATGAGAGCAGCAGAGAGAGCGTTTCAAATGTTGAAATCTTTTTTTATGGCATACCAAAGTTGTGGGAATTCAAGCAGCAGATCTATTTCTGTCTTGTACCATTAATTTGTTGTGCAAGGTTTGTAACCGCAAAATCCACAAAGAAACCCTGTCAAATACTGTTTGTCACACCACCCTGGATTATCAGAATCATGTTGAACAAACACAGATTAATGTTTCTGTGTTTAACTAATGTCAAATTTGGCACATTTGATCATTCGTGGTTGTGTGCGAGGCTTTTCTAAGTTGGTGTTTGGCAGTGGAATTGTGTTTTTCAACCTGCGTCAACTGGCTGATTGTAGATCTTCTCATCATAGACACAACATTGTCTGATAACAGGACACATTTGTGGCAGTGGTGAATGTTATGTTTTGTTGTCAGTTTCTCACAATTTAAAATCAGGAGCTAATTTGTTGAGTCACTGTTTCACACTGACATTAATCTGAACCTGAATAATAACTGTAACTGTTTGTTGAAACAAAAGACGTTTGTTTTTTGTGACTGCAACGGAGTGAACTTACAATAAAAAATAAAATAAGAAAAGTTACACTTTAACTAATGGAACACGTAGGTCGGTTTAGTGTTTTTGTTTGCAGATAACTGTGTTAGCACCATGAAATGCAGTTATTCCATGAACTATTTGCGTAAAGCGTGTCCCAGTATGCAGAGACAGTAGTGCTGTCAACAGTGATGATTTGAATAGTGTGACAGCAGCAGGGACAAAAAGCAGAATACACTTGGTAGATTAATAAGCAAGTTGATTTTATTTAAAGAAGCATTAACTCCACTGAAAATTCAAACCCTGATATATAGTAGTATTTTAGCGTGGATGTTTCAGATACTCTAGGTTTCAGTTCATTTCAGTTCTATTTTTAAGTGTTCAAAGTCAAGCTGCAACGTTACATCCATCTTTTATTCCAATTGTTGAGTAATATTGAATAAAAGGAGTATCTACAACATGTGGTTGAGATTACCTTCATAACTGAGGCCCTCTCTTCCAGAGTGAGTGACTGAGTGATGGTGATCACTAGTAATCTTAACTTCAAACACCACATGCTTCTTGCTGCAGCCACTGAAGAGTGTTTATTTATTCACTGAAACAACAGAAAGGAATGGGAAATTGTTTTCCTCCTCCATCTACTCTGTTAATGTGTCTAAGCCAAAGAGCTGAAATGTATCTGTAGTGGCAGCACAAGGACAGAGATCGGTGACTAGCTAATAGCATGGCAAAGCCATGTGACGTCTGTGTGTGTGTGTCCCAGTAAACTGTCCATTATCAACATATTGCTTCCTCCATTAGTCCAACAGATTTTTCCTGTGTTAATTCACTGCTGTAATCAATACCCCCCTTACCATTACCAGATGGCCTTGGACTTAAAAGCTTTGTTAGTGAGTTAGTCTTCCAGCTAACTATGTTACCGTACTGAATGACAGTGTTTGTGTGTGTGTGTGTGTGGTAATTGAGTTTTTGTTGACCTTAAGCAGACTACTTTAGAAATCAATTGGCTTACAGTATGATCTGATTTAGCCTAACAAGTGGCTAAATATACAGCTGTTTCACAGAGATTAATTAATAATTTCACAATAAAATGTATTTCATGTACATTTGTATCTGTCTGTTACAGGATTCTGAGGGTGTGGACATCATGCTCGGTGTGTGTGCCAACGGACTCCTGGTTTACAAAGACAGACTTCGGATAAATCGTTTCGCTTGGCCCAAAATACTCAAGATTTCATACAAGAGGAACAACTTCTACATTAAGATCAGACCAGGAGAGGTATGTACCCAGGCACATACACATGTGTAAACACAGACTGTGAATACAGACTGTGAATACTGAGATTTCCTCCCTCCTACACACAAGAATGCAAAACCAGAAATGATTTTCTCCAGTGTTAACATAACAGAATATACATAGCATACTGTACATAGCTTGAGATAGTTTCTCCTGTGGTGGATAAAATATCTTTTCTTTGATAGACGGAGCAGTTTGAGAGCACAGTGGGATTCAAACTCCAGAATCATCGATCTGCCAAAAGGCTGTGGAAAGTCTGCGTGGAGAATCACAGTTTCTTCAGGTAGAAATGCACACACTCAAACACACACTACGAAGAAAAACACACACTACGAAGAAAAACACACACTACGAAGAACACATGTACTGTGTATGGACAAGGATTTCAGAGATGTACATTCTTGTGTTCAGGGTATCAAAACAGCTTGTTAGGTAACATTCAATGAAGAAACCTGTGCTTCATCAGGCTCAAGAAAACACTGTGTCTCTTGCCAGAAAACAAATGGAAAGAGTGTATCTCATAGTTGTTTAACTAGTCTGATGCCTGGGGTAAAACATACACACTAATACATCTGCACAAAGATGAAAGAAGTGCCCAGCATTGCTGCAAGTGTGCGCTCTATCTGTATGTTTGGGTGTCTGTGTGATAGAGAGAGAGAAGAGTAAGCTTTAATATCCTGTTGAAGGGGGACTTGTCTGGAAACATTCCGCCTCTCTCCTGCATGGATATGTAACTGTAACTATTTAGTTTTATTGCAAAGTAAATCACTCTGAATACGTTTTAAAATGCATGCTCCTCTACTGCATTCCCCCGTCATTGTTTCCCTTCCTGTTACCTTCCGTCTCTGTCTCTTGTCTCTAGGTTAAATGCTCCAGAACCTCCAACCAAGGCTCGCTTCTTGACTCTGGGTTCTAAGTTCCGCTACAGCGGACGAACACAGGCCCAGACCCGCCTGGCCAGCTCCCTTATAGACCGACCTGCACCCAACTTTGAACGCACCTCCTCAAAACGCATTAGCCGCAGTCTGGATGGAGGTAACGCAATCACAAGACACTCACAAAGTGACAGTGAAACATGACATTCCAGCTTCACTCTGAACAATATTAAATGAATGGATAGACAGACGAAAAGAGGAATGGAAGGAATGATGTGGAAGTGGGCTCGTGTGTGTGTGTGTGTGTGTGTGTGTGTGTGTGTGTGTGTGTGTGTGTGTGTGTGTGTGTGTGTATGTGTGAAATGCACTGTGTCTGACCAGATACAGGAAATAGCTACAGCATATGTTTCCTGTCACACACAGAGAGACAGAAGGAGAAAGAAAAAAAAAATGAAGAAAGAATGTTATTTGTATGTCAAAGAAATAGGCCCTTATAATGAAAGAAATATACAGTCACTCTCACATCAATAAAATGTCCTGGCAGAAAACAAAATGGAAAACTACAGCACAGATCACACAAATTCTTCGAATTTGGCATGCACTGCACAAAAATTAACAAGTACTCAATGGCTCCTATCTTATAAATGACCTCATATGCTGTAGAAATGTAACTAGAACTAATACTGTCTGAATTTTTACAGAATCATGATACTTTATTAACTTCATGAGGCTCAAATGAGCCGTTTTCACAATATCAAATACATATTTTATTGTCTTTGGAACACAATTAACACCGTTTCTGTGGTTTTCCGGATTTGCAGTAACAGATCCCACTGCGTGCAGCTGTGTACTGCTGTTTCATCTGTCAGGTTTACTCCACTAGCTTACATTGTCCCCTGCTGGACACATGAATCCACTGCAAGCCAGCAGCATTGTTAAGGAGTAAATGGAATTAATTCTGTGAAATTCATGCATGTGCAGTAATTTTTTTAAGTATCTATCCTCACTGTTTTGGTTAAATATGGCTCTGACCAACATGTGTACAAAAAGTCTTATGTCAATGAAAAATAACACTTTACCCTGAATTGGTCAAAGATCAAAGTTGTCAGCGGAAGATTTAGGCAATTGTCACTGTGTGAAAATTTGTTGACAAGTTGAGTTTTTATTCATTTATTTAGTTTTTTTCTCATTCCTTTAGCACCAGTGATCAGCATTACTGAGGCCGGCAGAGACACAGCTGAGAACGGACGTGAGCACCGCCTGGAGCTCCACTCTGACTCTAAGGTGTGTTTGTGTGTGTGTGCGTGTGTGTGTGTGATTTTACATTGTGTGTGGATAAAAGTTTGCGTGTTCGGAAAAACAGCACAGAAAAGTCTAGCAAGTCTTTCTGTTTCGTTATTTGTTGTCTTTATCGTATTTTGGAAACCACATTGTCCCACAGGAACTGTTTGTCTTTTTGTGTCAGAGACAGACAGACAGTATTTACCTGGGTGAAGGAAAGATAAAAAATGTATGTTTCTATCTGAGACTTTGTCTCAGCATCAAGTGAATCATATAGAAGCACTTGTCGATTTAATGTTGCATACATCAATTCCTAGTGTGTCTGTAAAAATCAACATTTTTAATTAAGACACACTTTTGGTTGCTATGCTGTTATGTTAATATGTTGTATGCACATGGGGAAGACCAGGACCACTATTCTGTGTGTAAGCCAAGAAGAAGAAGCATTACTGTGGGCCCAGTCTGCAGGTCCATCTGCACTGTATATCTGGAGCTGTATATATCTGTATATATCTGAGAATCACCATAGCAGGATGTGGCTTATATCTGGGTGGGAACAATGAAATGGTAAAGCAGGTTTGATATTTCCACACTGAGCCAATGATTTATAAAAGTGATCCTCAAAGAATAGGCTACAAGTGAATAATAATGGCACCAGAGCTGAAATGTAAGCCTGGAGGCTTGGCTTTGTCCGCAGCACCAACAAGTGCAGTTTCAAATTGTTGTCTCAAGACATTTAATCCTCAGGATGAAATGACAGAATCATAACTGGCCACGTCAGACAGGTGTGGGGCTCTTTTTGTATCAGGACACTTAATGGGCTTTTGCTTGATGACTACTGATCTGTAGGTGTTGACAAAGAGTCATTCACTTGTTTCATTTCTGTTTTCACATGATTTTTCAGATACTTTTTTTCCACTAGGTGGATCACTACAAGGAACAGGAGGCAGCCAGCTTTGGCCTTTTGTCTCCTTAATATGTGCATATGTGTGTGAACAAGAGGGGGGACACAGACCAACTAGACTGACAGAGAAAGTCTATTAGCATTTGCAGCTACAGTCTTTACCAGAGCGGCTAAGGTAGCCATGAAGGTATGCATGGTTAGAGGTTGCATCTTCTGGCATCTCCACTCACAAGTGTCCTGTAGTAATGATCTGTGTGCACTAGCAGGACCTAGGCCAGCCCTAAACCAAGCCCGCCTGTGCCCAGCACAGGGGTATATATTAATTACTACTGTATGTTATGCATGCCTCCTGTTTCACCCCACACTTTCCCTTTCCTCCTCCTAACCTTCGCTCACACCCCGGCACTGTGGACTCTGTCTTAACCCTCGCTTAGTGGCGACACCCTGTAGACACTGTTTCTGCACACAACTGTAATCTGCTCTATGCTCTGCCCTGCTATGTTCACTTTTAACCTATTGTGGTGTGCTGTTCACTGACTAATGTTATGTCTCTTTCCCTCTCTCTTTTTTCCTTCACACCCCCTTTTTTTTTTTTTGCTCTCCTCACTCCTCTCTTGCATGCTCTCATTTTTACCATAATTTCATGAAAATAAAAAATGAAATTATTTGTATTTAATGCACCCTATGTTGGATGTTTTGGTTTTATGTTTAACTTATTTTACTTCTTCGCTGCTTGGTCCTGCACTTTGTGGATATGTGTGCATGGGTGTCTCCTTTCTTTTCCCCACCCACTCTATGTCTCTTACCCACTTTTTTGTTTGTTCCTCTGTCTTGTTGTCTCCTTCTTCCTCTCCTTTTCCTTCTTCTTCCGGTCTGCGCTTTTCTCTCCTTCAATCCTCCTCCATCAGTCAATCTTCATGTTTCCTCTGTCCTTCTCCTCATCATCCTCACTCTCCTCCATCCCCCCATCCCTCGACTCTATCTCTGAGCTCGACCATGGACTGTCAGACATCTCCGAAGATGACGACCTTATTGACGACACAGCTGCCTCACACACACCTTGGCCTCTTCCCTCATACGTTTCCATCACCTCCGATCAGCAGTCGGCTGATTTTGAACACCATGCACAAAACCCTCAAGCCTGTAACCCATTCACTGGCTCCCAAACTTACACGGCAGAGGTTTTGGGAGTTGAGGAGAGCTGCAAGGCTGAAACCAGAGCAACATCTGGACTACTCAATTGGCGGAGCTGGTTCTCTCTGAGAGGAGTGGTCAGATATGTTTCGTTCATCCTGTGTTTTCTCTCCATATTGGGGAAGAATGGAAAATGTCTGCCTACAAAGCTATTTTCAGGATTAATAAAGAAGCTGAGCATTTTGACCCTCACTGTATCCAAGCGAATATCCAAGTCAGCAGAGAATCTAAAGACTTTTACTTACAGTGCCCCCAAATCTATTATTTCCAACATGACTACGTCCAGATTATGTCAAATTCTTAACAGTTCAGCAAAAAAAATGAATCATTTTCTGACCTTTTTTACCTCTTATCTCCCTACAAAGTTCATGAGTTTGGTTCCAGCTTGTCCTTTGCAACCAACACAACTTTGTTTGCCCTTGGTGTCTTCTCTCACCTGTCCTCCAAATGTCTCTTCCTTTTCCTCCCTCTCCTCCCTCTCTTCTCTGCCCTTTTCCTCCTACCTTTTTTCTCTCCTGACTCTCTCCTCTTCCTCTCGCTCTAACCTAACTGCCTCTGTACATCGCTACCTTCTAAATCCTTCTCCTCTGTTTCTCCCTTGCCTGTTAGTTGTCTTCCTGTTGGTTGTGATGCTGACAGCGAGCCAGTCTTTGGTCTTGGCCCTGATTTTAGCCACGCCCCTCGGCCTGACCCTGTGTTACCTAGAGAATGTGGTCTCCAGTCAACGAAAAGCAGTTTTGCCAATGTTTATCAGTGAAAGGCCAAACGATCGGCCTGATGATCATTCAAGCTCTGGTTTCAACAACCAAGCTTCTCCTCTCACACAAACACACACACCTCCTCGCATCAGGCACCACACTCACACAAGTGCTACCTGGACACAAGAGATGTGTGATCCTGCTGCATAAACATACACTCATATAACCAGATTTCCCACCCTACCGTCCCCCTTCCACTCCTCTCTCCCTATGTCCTCCCCTGTGTTTGAATGTGTTAACCTTATGTCTGTGAGTGTCACCAACACCTCCTGTACCTGACATTTCCTTTTTTTCTTACCACCCCTGCACCCTGCCAACCGCACTGTATTGTTCATTATAAGGAACAAAGAGTAGAATAAGGAAGATTAATCAAAGTATTTAAATCCAGAGTGGATAATGGACAATGGATCAATGTCGAAATAGAGAAACTATTACTATATTGTTAATATAGCTATAAGGTATAATAGGGGATTTATATACAGAACAGAGAGTGTGAGGGAGGGAGAGACTTATAAGATTTAACTTACAAAGGCAAAATACAATAACACGTAGTGAAGTGCAGAACATATTTTGAGAGTCGTTTACGCAGTTGCTCTGTGTTCAGCACTCAAAAGATGTAACATAATGGTATTAACTGGTAATAGGCAAGATAAATGACCACTAATGCAATAATGATATTATTTTTGAGTAAATGTTGCTGCATTTTGCCTTTGTACTGCAGATTAAGATAAGTTGTAGATTAGCTGTTATAACTGTATATACAGATAGCTGCTGTAACCCCGCTCAACCCTATAGCACTTAAAGCGTATCAGATCTGTATATTATTGCTAATGAATGTTAAGAGTAAACAGTGTTACACTTACCCTGATCCCTGAGGTTCGGGACTCTTTCTTAAACCCGAGGCCGTTGTTTGCTTTGTTTTAAGTAAATGTATAATGGCATTTCTGTGGTGGCCAAGTGGCATTTTCTTGGTTGAACTTAGCTGTGTAATCAAAAGACGAGATGGAAAGAATACTGACATATTGCTCATTGCCAGAGTAACTAATTAGAAGTAAAAGTTGATCTTTGGTGGAAAACATCATGGTGTAGCACTTAATACCAAGAAAATAGCTCCATAATCTTCTTGACTTAAAAGTAGCATTGGTGTCCTAAAAGCATACACGGGAACTGTAGTAGCTGTAGCATTTTACTTGTTGTAGATACGGTGAATCTGACTTGGTTTTCAACATGCTCTAAATTTGTATCATAGGATAAGAATATACATGCAGACTGTAAAGAGCAGTCTGTAGCATCTGCTGTCTCCCTTTATTGACCATTATCTCCTGTCATGTGTTGGTGGGTTTGTGGGTTTGGTGCAAAGGTCACATGACCAGCAGTCCTCCCTAACACTGAGGTTGCTGGGAAAGAAAATAGCTTTTCCCATCATCCATTTCATTTTTTTCTTTCTTCGTGCCCCCACCCTCCTCATTTTGTCATGACTAACATCGCCATGACTACGACACTGAAGGTTAAGGAGGTGGACTTAAGCCCTGGTGATGTTGAAGCTACACCTACCCAGGTCTGTAAGGCCTGTCTTTCCCCAGCATGCTTTGCAAATTCTTTAAAAAAAAAAAAGAAAAAAGAAAAGAAAAAAAAATGTAGGAGTGATAAAAGATACTTTGCTTTGAACTAGTGTAAAGGTGGTTGTGAATATTGAATGCACCTGGTTTTATGGTGTAGTGGAGCAATATACCTAACCTCTCCTTATTCTCTCCCTGACTACCCCATCAACAGTCACTTGGAGCCAGTGAGGTTGCCCTCTCTCAGGTTCACACACTGTTATTGGTTATTTGATTGTGTATTTGGTCTGTCAACCATTTGCTCTCGCCGTGTTGGTTGGTTTGTTGGTTTGGTTCACCTATTTAGGGTGAAGTTGCCCTAATGTGAGGAGATAAAGTCAGTTCTCAGCTACTGAAGGCCCAATCTGGAATATGTGTGCAGAAAACATTTAAGAATATTCAAATTGACATTTAAGGCTGTTTAGTTATAAACATGTCTCTTGTGCCATCCTTCATTTTACATGAGGATTGCAGATTGGGGCCTGAGAGTAAAAACTGATCCTGAATGGGCACTTTCACCCAAAATCTTCACTTTCGGTTGCTCTGCTGTGGTTTGTGGTTTCACAGTTTTCGTTTGCTTTGTGGTTCATATCTGTGCTTTTGATCATTATTGTTGTTTCACTCAAAGCACATTGGGGTTTGTTGGTTTGTGCAAATGTTTGTTGGTTTTGTGATGTTATGAATGCTTTGAATTGTGTAAACATGGGTACGAGTGCCAGCACCATTTTATTCATAGTAACATCAGAATACCAAAATGTTTTTAATTTGTACTTGTACCCACCGTCCCGCCTTCTTCACAGTTTGAGACTTTTTTGGCCGCGTCACCACCTCTGCCCCTGACTTTTTTTTTTTTCCTCTTATTTTATTTTTTATTTATACCCGATTTACTCATTTGATTATGATTTATTTAATGATTTGTAATTTATTCAATTGTTATTATTTTTGTTGCATTTTGTTTTATTTTGTACAGTTACAGTTAAAATACACTGATTTTATTTTTTGTTAACTTTATTTCTATTTTTTAATTAATTTTCACCATTTCATTTTTTGCTGTATGTCTGCCTTCCAGAGTCCAATGAGAGTGCATGGGGACAATATTTATGTGAGGCACAGTAATTTAATGTTGGAGGTTCGTACTGGCGTCGTCTGATGGCTGAAAATAAGAACTACATGTTTCTGTGTACTCTGACGCCATCAGAACTACAACTTCCTCTGTACCATTCTGTATAAGACTGCTGCCCTCTCGCACTCTCAGGCTCTGTGTCTGTGCATGCATGTGTGTGTGGATGTTGGTTGATCAAGTCTTCACTCAGTTCCAGCTGTTTTGAGATTTTTTTTGTAATTTTTCTGTTATTGAAAGAGTTCTATATGACAAGGTTGCAATCGTCCTAATTCACTTGGCAGCCATTTTGAACAGCTGGGCTAGAAAATTGAACTGAAATGTATATGATGTATAAAACAAATGTCACTTAAAGCTGCACAAATCAATAATTCTATATGAACAGTGGGTCAAATAATTACATGTAATATGAAAGGAGTCACTTCAAAAAGAGTCAAAAAGAGCCAGAGGGAGAATGATTATTGGACTTAGATTTGTCATGTTTGCTATAGCAACATAACAAGGCTTTAATATGTCAAACATCAGTGATTTTTAGCTTTAACAAACCACGGCAACTGCTTGAATTAATCAGGTCAAGAAAGTTAACTGGAGGTTATGCATGTAACTGATGATGGAAATGAGGTTCAGGTTGACTGAAGTGTTGTAGGGAAACCAAGATATTTTCAGCATCGAATCTATGAAATGCAAAACATCTATTTTAAGTCTGTATTGGTACACAACAGGACAGATGAGACCTTCTCTTTCAGGAAATTTCCCAGCCTGAGTGTTCACAATGGCTGCTTTGTGAATAGGTCAGCGGTGTGTGAACGTGACTTCCATGCATGCTCCGTGCATGTTGAACGCTGTTTTGTGACCATTTTATCTTGTTGTATTTCCAATCCTTGACTGGTCAAAGAGTTTGATTATTGCCAGGCAGCTGTGTCTAACCTGACTAATCATGCCTCCCTAACCTGTATGAGGAGCTCTCTTCCTGTTTTCTGGTGATTGGCTGCAAGCATTGAGTGATGTGTGGTTTGATAACATACTAAAATAACAACAACAACAACACATCCTTTTGTTCAACATGGGACTGATAGTGATGCTTTGCTGTCTGGTATCTGTAGCATACTCGTACTCTAAACTGAGGGATTAGAAAACTAAACCTAGGAATATTTTCTTAAAGAATGTAGAATAAGAGTAGATTAGGAAAATTCATCAAAGTGTGGTTTCAGTCTGTCAGTTTCTGATGAATGACTTCTTTATCATGGTGCCGTCTCCTCAAGACAAAAATATTTGTAGTCAGTAGTAGGGAGGTCAGGGGAGGAGGAAAGAGCATAGGAACCAAGGAGATGAAACGATGGAGATGAGATAGGGAGGCAGAAACATTCACTAAGAAGTGTTTGTAAATAAGGACAAATGAGAAAGTTAGCAAAACTGCTAAGAACTGACAGGCAGGCAGAGGGAGAAAGAGAGCAGGTCAGGGTTACAGTGATCACCACTATCAGCTCCATGTTTTACAGTCTGCCCTGCTGTTCCTGGCCTGCTGAAGGAAAAACTCCCCAACAAGATGGAGAAGCTCTGTTTCACTGCAGCCTGCTTATACACACACACACACACACACACACACACACACACACACAAACAAGTACACGTGTGTGCTTGAGCAAAATACTGGTGAAAAGCCTATATTAAGAATTCGTTCCAGACCCCTCAAACAAGGCTTCAGCGAGGCAGAGCATCCATCTTGTTTCCCTCCTGATTGACAGACTAATGTTCCTGTGTTCTATTGAACCGAATTTTTCCCCTTCCCACCCCTCCCTCTCTCCTTCCCTTCCTACCTCCCGCTTTTCCTTATTCCTTTCCCCATTACATTTCTCTCGCTCCATTCCATGCTTCCATCCTTGCATTCAATCTCTTCACTCCGACCTTCCTTTCTCATTTCTCTGCTCATTCCTTTCCCCACTCTTTTTCCTTGACCTGCCACCTTTTCCTACGCTCTTTCCCTTCCATTCGCTGCCCCACATCTTTCATTTTTATCCCATTCTCATCACTTCCACCCATCCTCCCTCATTCAACCATACTTATCTCATTTACTCTCTATCCCTTCCTATTCTCCCTTACCCCACCTCCCCCCCCTTATTCCTCCACTCCCCCATTAGGACCATGATAAGACCCAAGACGAGGTTCTGAAACACCAAGCTAGCATTAGCCAGCTAAAACGCTCCTTTATGGAGGCGCCACCTCCCTCTCCTCCTCAGCCCAACCAGTGGGAGAAACGTCTCACCTCCTCTCCCGCTACAACGATACGTGTTCAACAGCAACAAGTGGTACGTCTGTGTGGATGTTTCTGTCTCGGCAACTGACTGTCACAGCCTTATTTGCTGCAAAGGTTGTTCGGGTCAAATGCTGTTTGCAGTGGATTGCAGTGGTTCAAAATTGTATTTTCATGTCTTCCTGCACAGATGCAGCAATGCCGTATGCAAGAAAAATGTGTTATCATTCATTTGTTTTGCCCCTTTTTTTTTTTTTTTGAAGTTCTCTTCTTTCCTCAGTCTCTCACTGTACCTGCTGTTATCTTTTTCACTTCTATATTTGATTGTTTTTTTAGATCTTTTTTGCAAGTTGTATAAGGTTTTCTCTTACTCTTTTCATTTGGTGCTTTTCGCATGGTGGTTTTCATGACCTGTTGTTCATAACTCACCCATCACCTAATGGACTTCATGGGGTTTTTCTTTTTCTGTAGGAATTCTTCCTGCAAAACCTGACCTAACCTACTACTGTCACCGAGTGTTCATCCCTTTTCAGCTGGGCTCATGTTACATTTTAGTTTTTACAGCATATGGTTTTATTCTGCTCTGTGTGCATTGCTGACTTCTGCGGTATTTCTCCACTTTGCTCTCCTAAACAAATCTGTTTCATTCTCTTCTACTTAATGTGATCATTATAAGATGTGCAAATGCAAAGCATGGCTGATCTTTATTTTATTTATGCTATACTTTCATACGTGTGCTTCATATTATATGTTTTTATGTCTCGTGTTATTGTTGTGTTTAACTGCTCGGTGTGATTTCTTGTCTCTCTGCCTCTCTGTGTTCTGCCCTCTACATGTGTTTGTATGTCGCTGTAGAGCCTTGAAGAGGAGATAGCGTCTGTACTTTTCAGTAGACACTCTTGCACTGGCTTTGACTCAGCTGCTGAGGCTGCCTGCAGTTTTCCCGAACTGACACTAGATGCTGTTATAACCACATGTTCATCTACTACCTCCACTACAGCGCCGCAAGGGCTTCTTATCTCTCCAACTACTACGCTCTCTGCTACTGAGGTGCTGCTGCTACTCCTGAACATTTAGGAGTCAGTTTACTTTCATTCCAGTCCATACACAATTTTCTTTTTGATCAACCAGTCACAAAGCCACCATTTCGCTGACTGGAGTTTTTATCTGCTCCTTAAGTTGATCGATCACCTTGAAAGTAAACTGACAACCTGTAATGCTTCACTTGAGTGAGGATGCTTACCAGATGTTGCCCATATTGCCTGCTATGGATGCTGGATGAATGGTGGCCATCCTTCATTCTGTATCAGAAACCATTCATTCTAAATGAACTGTGGATTCAAAATGGGCATGATCTAATCTAATCTGAAAGAACTAACAGCTGTGATTGTGTCATCTGTTCGTGTTGTTGTGATAAACATGTATGTGGACTGACTGCAAATGTAAAATCTGCTCCATTTATTTATCTTTGCCTCACCAGCATCTGCAGGGAAAAAAAAAAAAACTATATTAAAAGCAGCAGGTGTTGAAGCAGCAGTTTCCATCATTAGAAACCATTATGTGTTTACTTTGTGGCTTCTTACGTAAGCTTTTAAAAGACTCTGAATTAAATTCATTATGGTCTGACATGTTTTTTGCGGTCACTGCTGACTTCAATGCCATGTTTCTATATTTTTAAGTGAAGATGAGCTTTGGTGTTTATTGATTGGATATTCTCTTCAATCCATTTTAGCTCTTTACATTTTCTGTTCTCCTCTTTGTTCTTTATCCCATCTCCTTTTTATTGCCTGCTGCAATTAACTTAACACTGTATGGAAATGAACTTGACTGTGCATGAAAGACAGTCCACCATGGACAGAGAGGGAGAATAAATAAAGTCAGAGTCAGCCCCTCCCCATGCTGCGATAACGAGCATCACTAATTGCTAATAATGATGATATGACTGCTGGTGTGTGATTAATTATAATATTAATAATTGTCATGGTAACCTCTGTGTCACGCAGGTGAATGTGCCCCAAATGGAAGCAACTGCAGATGATAGTACGATCTCTGATACCAAAGAACCTGCTAAGGTGGTCCTAACTTTCTTCTATTAATCCATCCAGCTTTCCATTCATGATGCTTTTCATCCATCATTTTCTTCAGGCCTTCATTCATTTTCCACTTGCAGCTTGAAATTTCATGTTCTTACTACAGCCATCTATTCTTCTTACTTGTTATCTGTGTTCTTACTTGATCTTCTCGCCTTTTCACCTCTTTTTGTCCACAGTTGAACATCTTCATCTCCTTTTTATTCCTGATTTTGCTTTTGTATTAATTTATTTTCAGTTGACCTACTTGATTTTTTTTAATTTATGTTCAATGATCATGTTGTTTTTGTTTTTGTCTCCATGCGTTTGTTGTGTATGTGTGTGCACCTCATCGTGCGTGTGTGTCTGTGCACTACGTGTACATGTGTGCGTGTGTATGTGCGTGTGTATAGACAACTGAAGTTGAAATCGAAGAAACCGTTGTCGTCCAAGAGGTTTCCAAAGCAACCAAACCTGGACTTGTCACAGTTACAACCAGCTCTCCTGCAGGCCCACCTGCAGAGCAGGAAACAAGAGAGCCGGAAGTGAAGGTTGAAGAGGAAGTAGTGATAGCAGAGGAAGCAAAAGCAGCAAAGCAGGAGAGCATTTCATCCGAGAGCGAGAGCGAGGAAGAAGCAGAGTACCACCCAAATGTCCCCGTATCCATCTCGCATACGCAAATCCTAGAGGAGAAGGAAGAGGATGAAGAGCAAGAGAAGAAAGAGGAGGATAAGACGGGGGAGCAGAACATTTCAGTTCCAGACACTTCCTTTCCATCTGTAATCACTCATCCCGCAGAAGAGATCACTCGAGAGGTAGAGGAGTCCAGAAAAGAGGACACAGTGCCAGAGAAGAAGAACAATGCAGAGGAGGAGAAAGAATGTGAGAGGGAGACAGAGGAAAGCACCGACGATCCAATGGTTACACCTGATGAAGCTCCCAATGGTCTCCTCCTGCCTGAGGAGGCTGTGCAGGGGTTGGTCACCCATGCAGAGGAAGAGGAGGAGCCCAGAATGAACGGAGAAGCCTCTCTGGTTGAAGCAGAGCACCGGCCACAGGTTATTTGTTGCTCTGAGGTAAAGTCTTCACTGGGCCGACTGCGGAGCTTCCCTGGGCTTTGATCCCTCCTACCAACTGTAGAAACACCCACTTTTTTCCCTCCTGCTTTCCACAGTGCCGGTTTCCTTCCTGCTTGCGTGAATAATTAAGCCCCATGTACATCCTCACACTCATCTGGGTCCTGTGAAAACAACTCTTTTAAGCCTAAAATGAAACCTTCTCAGAAGTAGTAAAATCCCAGTAAAACAGACAGAAGAGTATTTTAAATATACAATTCACCATTGTTGCTTTGGTGTCAAGTTACCATTCCCTACATAATTAATTCAGTCTTTATTTTTTATTATAGCCATATTCATATATTTTAATGTCTTCATACCATTATCAACTTGACTAGTCCTCTGCTGCCGTGCATTGTGTGGTGTGTTGCTGTTGATGCCTCCTACTCTGCATTGTATTTTAGTGTTGTGAAGTAAATGGGGCCTAAGTGGGAAATGCATGTTGCTTTTAGTATTTTTGTTCTGCATGCTGTATTTCACCTTTCGTGTGTGTGTGTATGTGTGCATTTGTGTGTCCTTCGTGTGTTTTGGCAGTGATGCTTCTCTCTCTCTGTGTTAGTGTTTAATTGGCTTGTCATGGTCACCATGGTAACAGTATTGTGGAAATCGTCATTGCCAACCACTTTGGAAATGCCACCTGCTCATCTGAATGTCATCTTTGCATGTTGTTTTACATTACAATTGCCGTTTTGTTTGCCAGTCATTTGAGCATTGTTTGTTTTATCGGCTCATGTGTTATGCATGTTCGTGCTGTGTCGTACTTTGAGCTGCATGTTGACGCCAAATATATTTCTGTAGTTGTGCTGCTGTTGTAGTTGTTGCTCTCACGTGGCATTAAGTAGATGCTGTCGTATTCTGCGTTTGGTGATGTTGGCTCGCACGAGTTTGGGAGCTCTTGATTTCTTGCATTAAGTTTGCTGCATTCACTTGCATATGTTGCGTTTGTACATCTACAGCTACTGCTATGTGTAGCGCTGTATGTGGCACAACTGAATCACTTCCCCTTCAAAACAATGGTCTCTAGTGTAATTGAAAAATACAGTTAATTTGACGATAATTAAGTACACATTCACTGTCTTCATTTTTTTTCCAATAGCTAAACAAAACATTTAAATTGAATGACTTGGAAGTGAATGTAATCCCAAAGAAAGTGCATAGATAAAAAGATATTTCTTTGTTTCCTTAACGGTCTCAGTTTTAATATATTAACCCTCTTTCCTCCCCCCTCACATCTCTCTCTCCTCCCTCCCCAGCCACCTGTGGTAAAGACAGAAATGGTGACTATATCAGACACGTTTGCAGCCCAGAAAACTGAGATAGCAACAAAAGAAGTGCCCATCGTACATACGGAAACCAAGACCATCACTTACGAAGCTGCACAGGTGCACACTTGAGAAACACAGGGAGCTTTTATTTATACTCTCCTTATGTGTGTTAGCGTTCAGGATTCGCATTGTGTTTGTGTGAATCATTTAGATTTTGTAATTATTTTAAAGGTTATTTTCATTGTTAATGTTCCATGTTCCAAAGTGCTTCCTTTCTAGCACCAGTGCATGATGCCCTCAACCATTCCTTCTCCCACAGGGAAAGAGTTTTTATTTATTTATTTATTTATTTATTTATACATATTTTTAAACTAAGTTCATTTTAAAAGAATTCATTTGAAACATCAAAGAGGTAACGGGGGTTTTCTAGTGGTAATCAACAGCTGATTATCTCTTTTTGTCTCTCCCTGTTATCAGTTGGATGGTAATGGTGATGGCGAGCCTGGAGTGTTGATGACTGCTCAGACAATCACCTCTGAATCTCTGTGTACTACTACAACCACACACATTACCAAGGTACAGACAGACACACACCCACAAACACACATTTGTCATATTAATATGACGGCTCATTCTTATGTAATATAGCTATCATGAACATTGCTGTACAAAAGCTCTGCAAATATAAACACATTTATTCACTTTAATAATTCTTTAATAATTTTTAATAATTCTGTATCTGCTTTGACTTGTTGGGCCATCACGACAATGTTAGCCACTCAGCTGTATCCCACCAGCACCCAGGTGGGCCTTGATTATTCATAGTTAATCCATTGTGACATGCATCAAAGCATTGTGGTTGTGAATTTTGTTCCAGACGTTAAAGGGCGGCCTATCAGAGACGAGGATTGAGAAACGCATCGTCATTACTGGCGACTGCGACATCGACCACGACCAGGTCAGTTTTCGGTCACACAGCTGATCGCTCTGCCTTACCTGGTGTTTCAGCAGCTTGGTTGATGGGTCTCTTTATTCTGTCTAAATATGCATATTGTGAAAGGCTCTCCAAAAATCGATTTTAGATGTTGCACCTTCAATGTGGGACGTTTGTTCATAGAAATGAAAAATGCTGATAGAGAAATGATGAAGCTGGCTGCTGATGACTGCTGACAGAAGAATGTTGAGCCCCAGATTCATTTAATTCAGTTTAAAGAGGGATTTTATTCTGGTTGCTTAGAATTAAGGGAACAAATATACATCTGGTAACATGTTGATCATGTTGCTTGCACAATTTAATTCATTCATCACTAATTACAGATACCCACAATTCATAAGTTCACTCATTGGCTGGGATCTGCTGCATCCATCTCTTCACTTATTCATCCATACAGCTAGAAAACAGTGTTTTAACTTTTTTTTATTTTTTATTTTTTTATTTACCTTTCTGTGCCCGATTTTGTTGCTCACCTTTGTTAGTTTAATTTTCTGTCCTTGCCTTTGAGAAAATCATATCTTTTTAATTTTTGGTACCCCAGATGTGATGAATACTACATGCTAAAGCTACAGTGAGGAGATCACATCTGAGTTAGTTCAGTCCTCATGTATTTGGACAATGACACTGACATCTTCTGTCATGTCTGCCCTGTATACCAATAGATTCAATTTGATGTGAAACACTGACCATGAAATTTCAAAACAATATGAAATTTCTCATTATCCATATAGGTTCATACAGACTGCCCTGTAAAATTTGATTTATAAATCCTAGCCTGCATTTTTACATTTGAAAACTTGATTAAATACATTTACAGGCATTTCAGATATTTGAAAGTGATGGGCAATTAATATTTATTTGACAAACTTTGACAAACTGTGTATCACAAGTGAAACAAGAGGTTTGTGGTATCAGAATGCAGATAGCGTTTTCAGCCTCAAAATATTTCAAATATTTGAAAAAGTAAAAATCTATTTTGTTACATATCTGGATCTGCATGATCTTTTGTCCACTGGTTTATTTAAGTTGCCTGTCTAAATTTCTTTTAAATATTTTTTTTCTCCACCTGATTCCATCCGACTCCATCTGAAGTCATTTTACTTCATACAATTTAGATCCCAATTAATCCAAAGAAGTAAAATGCCACAAATCACACTAACCGTAAATCCTGCATTCTTGTCGTTTTTCTTTGTGTTTCTTATTTATTTTTTTCATTTAACTTCACCATTCTCCCCTCCTCTCCTTCCTCCACCAACTCCACTGCCTGCTGTGCTCGGTGCTGCCACTGTGTGGTTGCCCCTTGGTACCGCAGGCACTGGCCCAGGCCATTAAGGAGGCCAAAGAGCAACATCCTGACATGTCTGTTACCAGAGTGGTGGTTCATAAAGAAACTGAACTGGCTGAGGAGGAGGATTGACTGAACTCAGGTAATAATAATAATAGTAACTGATTATTATTATTATTATTCATGGTGAAAGTAATACTGGGAGGTATTTAACTGTGGGAGTGCATATAGCGGTTTATTTGCTGGAGACAAAAACTGAGATGAAATAAAAACTCCCACACATGAAGCTGCTAAAACCATCAGCCATCATTACACAGGCGCAAAGAGTTCAAGGAAGAGAAGGGAACATTAAATTTAGGCTGTGACTGATGGAGGTCTGGCTGTGTGGAGTACAAGGGGAATATTTTGAGTAGGAAACTACAGGAATGTTGAGCGCCAGTCATCATAACACTCAGGCTGATTGCCTTCAACTCTATTTTCCAGAGTTGAAGGGCCCATCATGACTGTTTTCTCTGTTGACGTTGAACGACCTTCTTCACCCTACGACGACCAACCGTGACTGACTGAAGAGGAGGAGAAAAAGAGGAGCTAAAGAGCAGAAGGAGAAGACTTAGACAGAGGGAGTCGCTGGTCACCAATCTCTTCGCAGTCGGTCTTTCTTACATGTCTGTGGTGCATCTAAATCCCTCACTCCAAAACCAAGTAAAAGAAAAATAATATCCTCACTCTCTCTGAGGGAACACAAAAGAACCACTTCGTTAGCTTAACATTTGTAGTGTGTTTTTATTTTTTAATAGTGCTTTTTTTTTTTTTTCTTTTCTTTAACTGTTTGTTTTACAAAAAGAGAGAAGATAGTGTGTCTTTAAGATACTGTTAAAATAAAACCTTTAGGGATGCACTGATAACCGGCTCTGATGAGATACAAGCCTAAGAATGATGACTGTATCATTGTACCGATTATTTCATCATTGTATTGATTATTTCATCATTGTTATTGACCTTCAATAACATTCAAAAGTCAAAACAAATCGAAACTGTTTTTATCTTTTTTATCTTTTTTGTCAAAAAGCTATGAAGTTCTGTGCTTGGTATCTGTATCAGCAGTGGAAAAGTGGTATTGGTGCATTCCTGAACAAAAAAAAAATGTTGTTTGTTAAATTACAGCTCCCTCCCTCACTTCATGAAGTGGAGAGTAATAAAATATAAGTCAGTCATTTCAAATTTTTACAGTAACAAGTAGGCCTGCAGGAAATGGGGAGACACAACTTGGTCTTTTTTTCTTTTCTTTTTTTTTTTTTTTTTTTTTTTTTTTTTGAAACATTTTCAAAGTGTAACAAAATCCAGCAGTTTTACTCATTAAAAGACATTCACGGAGTCAGATTATGGTAGAAACCAGTTGTGTCACGTGTTCACATTTTGTTACTAATAATTACAGAGATTAGGGAGCTGTAACTTAAAAAGATTGCAGTAAAAAAAAAACCAATCAACCTGTTTTTTGTTTTCTTTTGTTTTTTTTTTTGTTTTTTATGGTTCCGTCTTTTTTTCCTGTAAGTATAGTTATTATTCATCCACATTCCTTGTGTGTTGACTGGCAGCTGAGTGAGTTCATTATCAGTTCAATTCACTTTTTACTCAAGAGAAGACATTTTAACATTTACAGTAGGTAAGAGTGGAAGGACTCTTAACTGGGTCAGTGGGTTTTACTTTATTTTTGAATTCAGAACTGAAAATGAACTGACTTTAACGCTGGTGTATACAACGTTCTGTACAGTAAACTAAATGAAGGTTAATGAGCAGTAATCCAGCTTTAACTTAGCTAAACGCTCTCCCTGGGCCCGCCCACTGTATGACACTAACCATTCCCACTGGGCCGCAGGGGAGCAAGGGAGCAGCAAACTGACTTGATTGGGAGAGAGGACCAGTAAACACAAGTGTAATTGGGAGATAGTGTTAGCGCTGTACCATGCCGACCATCATCTATTTGGGAGTGAAAAGGAATTTGAACATTATTGCCTGTCGGCCTTTTTTTGCAGTTGTTATATTGCACCCTGCAGTGAGTTAAAGCTGTTTTAATATTCTTAGGACAATGCTTAACAAACAATCTGCAATTTATATTATTCAAAAAGAGTTTTGTGCTACGACCAACGCAGGTACCAAAATGAGGACATGCAGCTGGAACAGCTTGGAAACCAGTTCTGTCACAAGTAATTTCTACCAGTTTGCTAACTCTGCCTCGGAGCCTGTTTGTCATCGTAGTTCAGCACTTAATTTCACTCCCAGCTTCTTTACGTACCAACAAAACCTGCTAGACATAATGAGAGGTGGAATTAAATTCAGCATGTCTTCACACATTTTTATCTTCAAAGAGTATCTTGAGCGAGTATAGATTGATTGGTTTGAGAGTGTGTAGATAACAGATTATCTCGGCTCATACAGTATGTCTAGATAAGATTATCTTTGACATGGCGCTGGCTGTGTTGTAACTGTTTCACCACAACCAAATATTGTGCCGTGTTAATGGTATTTTATATGTTTAAATTTCAAAATTACATTCAGTTGTATTCTAGATGATTCTACAACACAAACATAACTACATACTACAGACAGACATGGAAACAGTTACAACATAACAGTAAAATGCAGCTTGAAGGGAAGTGTATCAGAGGGCTTGAAGTGCTCTTGAAAACCCCCCTACATGGAATCTCATGATGTTTTATTCATTTTCTGTCCTTTAGCCAAATGTTCAGCAGAAATCCACAAAAATGTGTCTGTTTAAATATCGGTGGCATTAAACAGGTTAGAACAAGGAGTTTGGTCCAATGTATTTAGTTGACGGATTTTCAATGTGAGCAAAAATGAAAAAAGAAAAACAAATTCTGTAAAATCTGATCTGTAATCAAAGAAGTGCCACAGATTTATATGAAAACATTCCACCTGGACTTGCCTAGGTTTGTCTTAACCCTCCTCTCTGACTGGACATAGTGGCATTTCATATTGAACTCAACAGAATAATTTGTGTGTTTTTAATGAAGGAGTATTGACCTCCTAATTTGAAACCATTTTAAAACTTTATTTCTGGACTGAGACATGTCCAGATGATAGCGTGGTAATGACTGTCTTGGCTTTTTATTGGGAAACACCGGTCTGACCTCTACTATGCAGTTAAATGACATTCCAGATGAGGGGGAAGCTTTAACCTCTAACCCTCTTGCAAAGAGACAAAGCAGCAGAAAAAGAAGGAAAAAAACAAACAAACCATGCAACAATGGGCAGCTTTGTGAGTTTTCGCTGTTCAAAACAGAAAAAAACAATGATATTTGTAGCTTTTCTCATAATTTGTCGTCCTATTTCTGTGAAACTGATCTAGTTGTTGAAAGGCGGGAATTGTTGTGCCCCCCTCTTGAATATTTATAACATTGTCACAGTGTTTTTTGAAGGAACACCATTACGAATCAAATTTTCTGCCACCGTTTCCTTTTTGTACTTTTGGCCACAGATTAAACCTCTTTTCGGGGGTCTGGGCTTTCTTCTATCCAGTCACAGGAGCTGTGGGGCGGTGAGGTCCGGTTTTCCAAAATGTTTGTAGCTTTTTCTCATAAATTTTATGTGAGATCACCCAAAAAAGAAAAAAATAGAATGACAAATGAATGACAGTAACTTTTATTAAGATAAAAAAGCAAAATAGACAAGAGTTGGACCATTGGAAGTTTCCAGCAGTTACCAAGGCAACTCCATAATGTTACTCATGGATAAGAAACAGATGATTCAACGCCAGCTGATTTTAAAACTGTCAGGGATCTCAACATTATGGAGGGCATTGTAACTTTCATCCGACACAGTGACATGACTTTCTGTGTGGGGGCTGATGAGATGAATGTTTTATAATTGATGCCAATTATATTCTTTACACATAAATCTCAGGCTTGGTACTACAGTTTGGACAGATGAGGAGGTATAAAGTCAATTAAAACCAGCAAAGTTTTGTATTTTAACTAAGTAAAAACTCACTTTCCACAAAACTTTATAAAGAACTGAGTTTTGGAAAACCAACCAGCTGCCTCATTGCTCTTTCTTAGCCAACCAATGATCACCGGTAGGATTTTTCTATCTAGCAGCTTAACTGTCTTGTGTCTCCCCACGCACAGCCACTCCTCCCCAGTGTAACACTGTTTAAATAAAGGATTGTTATACTCTGAAATCTGTTTGGTCAGTCCATTTCCTCATTCATTCATTTCAGTTGTGATTCAAAACATGTAAATGTCTTATGTTAATGTACATGAGTTGATGTCGTAGTCAGGTAGTAATAATGTGTACACTAAGTGTTCACTTTACCAAAAATACTACTGTTCTTCATGTGTAAGATTCTTCATACAGATGTTGTACATATGTACAGACAGCTGTTTAAATGGCTTCCAAATTTTCCTGAGTTTTTCAAGAGGTACAGCATTGGTTTTCACAGATCTATGACAGCTACAGATTTTCTATACAGGCTTCAACTTTTATTCTCATGAGACGGCTTATGAGATATGTCCCTCCCACGTCCATGATGGTGTCCACAGTGGTCATATTGCTATAGAGACAGTTTGAACTCATATTGAGTGTGTGTGTGTCCGGTCAGGTGTATGAATGCTACCCAACGCTCCTCCTCCTCAGGTGTGTACTTCTGTGTATCTGCCTGTGGATGGCGCTTCTGTCCTCTGGAAACCCCCACAGATCAGCCTCAACTGGGGATGAAAGAAAGAATACAGAGCAAGACTGAGAAAATACAGTATAGGTCACAGAGTACAAACCTCATGGCGAGTAGCTCAATCTAGGGTATTTTTTAGTGGATCATTCAGATAGCCTAGATTTGGTTATTATCATTCAGTATAAGTATTGACTGCCTTATCAACTGCATTAAGTTATACGGTATGTTTCTCAGACATATTGCACATTTACAAATTCATTGAATTTGTTAAATAAATAAGAATGATACAGATGGATGCTGTCATATGTGAATGTCAACGATAGCTATTTTCTGCGCATGCGCAATGAGAGCCACCACCCGACTCGCCCTTCTCCGGCTGTAGTGATGGTTACAGGTGTGTCTGCAGGCAGGTAATCAAATGTCTACAGTTTAACTCTTCTTTTACAGAAGTGAGCTGAATCGAATTGAATAGGAATGGTTCCCCTTTGAAAATTAACACAGAAACTTGAGTCTGCTAACTTACTTTGATAGATATATTGCATTGATAACAGACATCCATTTTGTTAACATTTTTAAGTTAGCTTAGCACTAAGCTAGCTCATAACATGTAAAAACAACAAAATTATTAACATAATTAATCACAATTAACAGTTGTTAACTTTGTATAGTTCACTAATATGAGGTTGTTTACTTTCTGCGCCTGGAAATTGGCATGTTTTATTCGAAATTTGAAAGAATTGCTGTTAATGTTTTGCTAGCTGTGGAGTTGCCCATGGTGAAAGCTGGATGTCTCCTCACCAGGAAAAGGCAGCAAGGACCTCCACGTCACTGAGTGAGTTCATATGAAAAGTAGCATACTGTGGTAGTGTACACATCAGTTACTCACTTAAAATGCAACTTCAGCATCTCTGTGCCAGTTATTTAATGACTGGATGACAGGTGTTTCTCATTAAGTACGAGTCAGTAAAACACTACGCTCTTTAAAAGAAAGAAGTGTTTTTCTTTAGTTAGTACCACTGACAATTAGCTGTAATTGATTATAATTGGCCTCAGAAGATGTACACTGACACCCACACACCTCCTGACTCTCCTATCTTGTCCGTTGAATCAAGCTCATTAAGACTTACTAAAGACACAAATCTTTAAACGGGTCTTAAAAGAATAGTTTCATTTTTGTAAAATGCTAAGGAATTTGCTAAAACGGGGCACTGCAGTTTTTAGCAAATGGTACTCAAGCAAGAGCAACTATTTTAGTTGATTTGTTGGTGTTTACTTGTTAATTAGTTTTGATGGTGACAAAACTGTAGTCACCATGAACACACCCTCTGGGATAATTCTCCATCAGACATCAGGACAAACCATGAGCTGAAAGTTACAAGTTTGTATTTTTTTTAATCACAAACTGTGGGACTAAGCTAAGGAAAGTCTTAGAAAATTCTTTGTAATCTTCATTTTCATATACCCAGTGAGAGTGGGAGCAGATGGCATATGTGAACCCATTATCTTGGGATGTGTGTATAATTGACTGTGTGTGTTTGTATTTTATGTCAAAGCAAAGAGCAAATGGGTCAGGTTCACTTATCAAAACAACACTTGTTACCAGAGCATGTGTACACACAGATAAAAGAATAGCCATGTTTCCAGGTTTTCCATGCAGTACCCTAAAACCTGCAGTACACCCTCTCTAATGCACACTGCATCTCTCTCACACAATAACATATAAACACTTTCACAGAAACCAGGCCAGTATAACTGATACTCTCAGTGATCATTAGCCTCAAAGTCAAATTTGTTTTTTTCCAAAAATGTCATCATGCCAAGTTGTTAGGTTTTTTCTTGTAATCTATTTTGGATGTTTTTTTATTATTCAGAGTGCAGCTGCGTTACAGGACTCAGACATTTTTTCCACCTGGGAGCGACATGAGCTGTCAGTTTTTGTTCAAAAGTCATATAAGAGTATGAGACCTCTACAAGACACAGTTGGCAGTGTGTGTGTGTCTGTGTGTCTGTGTGTGTCTGTGTGTCTTCTCATTCACAATGTTGATTGAGAATATTTTCTTGACATAGACAAAATGGTGTGTAACGGTGGCCATAGCAACTGATAGCATGAAGTAAAATCTCCAAGTTGTAACACACAGAAAAATAAAATGTGGAGATGAGCATATGTATTTATAGTATGTGTGGCCCTGGAGAAAGACATCTTAGTATCCATTTAGCTACACGGCAGCATCGTAAATGTAACATAGCAAGTGGTCTGAACATGGGCGAGACATAAAAAGTTAATAACATGCCTACCCTGTCTGAGTTTCCAGCTGAGGTAGATAATCAGTTGCAGCAGCAGCAGACAGACAGACAGGAACAGCAGCAGGCTGAAGAACCAGAGAGGAAGAAAACTGTCTGTCTCTCTGTCTGTCTGCATGATGGTTTGTCGCAGGAGCAGAGCCACTTCAGCCCAGGGGCCACTGAGCACCTCCATACTGCTGCTGCATGGGAGAAAGAAATCAGAGAAGAGAGGAAGTCAAGATTGATTTTGATAGGATACTTGACACATGATCAGATAACATGTCCCAGTGAGCGTTGATTTGGTGATTTTCAGGTCAAAGATATCTAGGTTTTGATGTTAAGACTGGGCTGTGTACATTATATATAGTACTGTTTTAACAGTATTGCAATGACAATATTTTTTAATGTGAGGCAATTCCAAACTACATGTTAAGCATTTGTAGTTCATGCTTTTATCCAAAGTGACTTACAACAGTAGAACAGATAGAAGTAAGAGGCAGCTGAGTAAAAGCATAGGCTTCTGAAGATAATTTAAATGTATTAACAATAGCTGCTGAATAGGAAACCGAGTCAGAGGATGGCACACTCTAGATGGCCATTATTCCTTTCAAAACTACCAAGCAGTTAAGATCTCCAGGCTCAAATTTAAAGGTGAGACTGTTAATGTAGCTCATATTTTACTATTGCGCACAGCCTGTTCAGGTTCTGAACTATGATGAATAACTTAAGGCATTAAGTGGAATGGAAAATGATTTAATTACAGTAGATTGATTGTTACCTTTCAGAGGAATCTAATTGTGATGGGAAGGTGGTAAGACTGTGATGCAAAAGTCAGTAATTTAACAGGTAATGATGTGCATGTTTTATTTATTCCATCATTCCAAATTGGCACATCTTTAATCTCAGTACAAGTTGCATGCATATTTTAGGCCATTACATAGCAATTCATTCAAATTTGAGCCAGCTTCTGCTTGTGCAGAAGCCAGCAATCTCTCTTCAAGAACTACTTTCTCTACTCTATTTTATCATGTTCACATTACAAATTGGCACATCCAGGATACTGTAACATTGACTTCTTCTGTCTTTATGATGTATGTGAACTACAGCTACAGGCATCAACTGACACGTCTCAAATGATGCAGTGCTCCATGACACAACAAGTGTGTGTTGTATTTCCAAGAAATATATAGTGACTTTAATTTCAACCATATCACGCCGGTATAATTCAAACACAGAGTCAAGGGACACAAAACTGTAATTTTGGTGGCTATCTCAGTGATATGTTTAAGTCATATGTTTATTTTCCACATGCAAAATTATAGCTTGTTTACTTCTAAGTTCCCCTCAGCACCGAGGCAAAATTATCCACCCTACGAAGTATTTCCCTACCAAGTAAGTCCTGCTAGAAGGATATACTTTACACCCACCAAATTCTGTTGACTGGCTAAATTCCTTTAAACAAACCACCAAAGCGAAAGGCAGAGAGAATACTGACATTTGCAAAAAAGTTCAACAACTTCAAAAACATCCTGCACCTACCAGAAGTGCAGCCTTGATGTGTCAAAGACGCAGCAGTTATCAGATAAAGATGTAAATATTCCAGAATATCTACTTACAGTTTTCAAGTTCCCTTCAGTGCAGATATGATTTAACGTAGGTAGAAATGAATATCTAAAGAAATATTCTCAGTGAGCTACTCCATAGTTGTCCTTACCCCAACGTTTGTCCTTACTGTTAAATAGTCTCCAGTAGCTTGCATGTAAGTGGAGGTCAAAGGTGAGGCTTTGGCGATGGCAGCCACGTAACTTAAAGGACTTAAAAGAAACGTTTATAATTCAGTCAGTGTGTCACAATACGTTTCAGTGCAGAGGTTAGGGAAATAATCCAGAGAATAATTCCTCAGAGAAAAAAGATTGTTGGTTCAGCCCAGAGGTAAAAGTCGTGATTCTCTTAATGGTCTCTCTTTTTTGTCTTTTCTGTCATGTCTGTCTCTTTGTGTTTCTTTTTCTCTCTGTCTCTCTCTCTCATTGGTAGAAGCACCACCACTGTTGTTGATGACGATGTGAACTTTGTTCCGTTCCAACAGTCAAACCTTGTGATTACTAAGAAGATTAGCTATACTGGCCTGGTCTTTGTGTGCGTCTACATGTGTGTATTTGTGTGTGAGATATGAGATATAGTGTATGAGAGGTAACTACAGGTCTCTGTGTCCTCAAAACATGAAAATGGGGCAAAGTGATACTTATTCCTCCTCTGTGTATGTGTATTTTGGGGCCTCTTGTAATGTTTTGATTGTTGAACCTTAGACCTGTGTGCTCAGTGTGTCATAAAACAAACCTTCATTCATTTTTTTTTCAGCTTTTTGCACTCTGACTGGAAAAATGTTCTTATCTCCTTTTCTCTTTTCTTCTCTTGTCTATTCCCTCTCTCTCTTTCTGCCCTTTGTCTGTTTATTCTCACCAACAGACACTGATACCTTTTTTCATCAGAGGCAGTATTGATTAAATTAAAAGGACCTGATAGCATTAACCTTGGCTGCATTGTTAGAACAAAATGAGGAGTGACACAACACAATTGTCACAGTATTAAAAGTTAAATTCAAACTGTATAGTTAAAAGAGCTATTTGTAAGTTTTGCTATTGCTACATAGCCAACATTAGCATTAACAGGTGTTTACTTACCAGTTTTACCAAGCTTCAGGCATCTTTGCATTTACGATACAAGACGTTAAAAGATGCCCTCTGAGAAGGACTACTTCTTCAGGGCAACAGGAACGCTAGAGAATCTCGATTTTGGAAAGACAAGACGGCTCGACCAGGCTGGGGATAGCTGGTTAGCATGCCAACTTAAGTAGAAGAAAATAAGTGATAGAAGTAGAAGCAGTAGAAGCAAGTTGTTTTCTTCCACAGACAGCTCTTGGTGAGTAAAGGAATGAAGTTTGATGCTGAACAATGTTTCTGTTAGACTGGTAAGTAAACAGCTGTTAATGCTGATGTTGGCTATGTAGCAACAGCAAAACTTACACATAGCTCTTTTAATCCTAATGATTTTATAGCGCTAATGGAAGATTTTTTTATTGCAACTTTGCATTGTACCCTTCATTTGCAGTAGCTTCTTTGAAAGATTGTATTGTAAAAGGTCTTTTATTATATGGTCTGAAAAGTATATTTGGTCAGGTTACTTCAAGTCTGCCCACATTATGGTTATCTCTAAATGCAGCTAAAAGTCTCTGTTTACCAGATGTTTGATCTTAGCAAGCTAGCATTAAACTTAAAGCAGGTTTGTTTGCTCTGAATTCACCAATGGGCACCTTCACTGTGGAAATATCAGGGGGCTGTAGCTATATATTTGCAGCTATTTGTTCTTACTTGGCAAAGCAGGAAGTACCTCTGTGTGGTTTGACACTTATTTGCTCAGATCTCAACATCAGTACTCTTGTCAGGCGGAGTCTCATTTAGACTCACCAGTAGTCTATTCTCATGGGAGAAAAACAGGCTGGTGAGAAGTGCGAGCTAATTGAGTGATGCTGTCATCAAGATCAATGCAATTGATTAGCTTCATTGTTTCTCTGATTGATCAGGAGAATGGGTTTATTTTGGGAGAAGTGTGTGTGCATTTTGGTCTTTTTGTGTGTTTATGTGTGCCTTTTTTCTGAGTGACTGGGGCACAGTGGAGCTATTTCTGGAGAATTAATGCAAACACCCCTGTGTGTGTGTGTGTGTGTGTGTGTGTGTGTGTGTGTGTGTGTGTGTGTGTGTGTGTGTGTGTGTGTGTGTGTGTGAGTGAGTGATATGTTCTGTGTGTTTCTGCTTTATGTTCAAAGGGAGCAGTATTCTTGTGTGTGTGTGCGTGTGTATACACTCTCTTATTGATCAGTAGATAGATTTTATTCTGTTTGTGGAGACTTGTGAGAGAAAGACAGAGGCCTCTTTGAAGTTAACATAACACGTCCAAGTTTTTCTGGCGTTTTTATGTATTGGCTTGATAAGATTTTTTTATTTATATAGTTTATATTGGAAAATGGCATGTTTAATTAAATCATTACTGTGAGAAAATAAAACAGAGAAACAGAATAGGAGACATATAAAGGAGACAAACTTCATTATTTATTAGACATGACTGATGAAACATTTACTTGGCTCTCTTGTGGAAAGAGGAAATGAAACTTAAAATCTGTTGGAAAATCTCCTTTGAGCAGCCATAACTCTGGCTAAATGTTTCCTCCAGATCAGATTAGACTGTTCCCCTGGTACCCGGAAGGAATTTTGGATCATTTTGCAAACTTGCTGCATTCATAGACTATAACCAAAATTGAAAAAAAAAATTGAAAAAGGGATTGTTTTTTGGGAGTTCTTTACAGCATCAGCTTTTCTTTCAAAGCTAACAAGCCCTTCGGTCCATGTGTTTCTTTCTCATTATCTCTCATTTTCTCTTGTGTCCTTCTGCTGCCAAAGCTCTCATGGAAAATAGCAAGATATTCAGTAAATGTACACAAGTGAAAAACAGGACCATCCTTGTATTAATTATTTACAGAACAGAAGCTGTTGCATCATGAGGGGGGGTGAGGAATCATGGAAGGGCAGGATCAGGATTTTGGGATAGTGATGGTTGTGGAACAAAGTCCATCCTCAGTGTTAATCTCAACACTATGGGTCCTTTGTTAGGTTTATTACCCCCTCCTACACTGAGTATCCAGTATTTTTTTTTAAAGCTTTTAGCAGTTTTTGTTGCCTGAATCAGAAATTTTGCCTCATCTCTCTGTCTGTCTGCTTATATAGTTAAGAGGCAGCATCCACTTTGATAAATGTAGTGTGTGTGTGGTCTGATGTGTGGGTGGTTGGTTGTGTGTATGTTGTCAGTACAGTGAGAACGGATCCTGTGTTTCATTGATTGTACAGTGTGATGAAACAAGCTCAACTCGCTTCTGTCCATGTCTTATGGTACCACAGCTATCTAATTGGTAGGAAACAGAAATGAAAACTACTGTTGTCTAACAAGTAAAGAGAAAGGTCATTTATTTTATTATTAGTATCAGGTCCTTTATGTTTCCCATGGATGTTGCAAATATATAGCCTATCTGTCATTAGATTACACAATTTAGTCAGTTATTCATTGGGTTTGAAATTGATTTTTTTGTGAGCTGCAGCTTCAAAAACCACAAATGCACATTATTGGACTAAACAGAATCTGTTTTTTGTTCCTATGTCTTTATGTTTTTATCTCTGTTGAATTTCTACTTTATTACATTATGTAAAGTAGTTTTTCTAAACCAAACTTACTTTATTTGGATTATGTAACTGATGAAGTTGTTGTTGTCCTTGTCCTGATGTAATAGAAGAAATTTTAAAAGGAGCAGGTAACAGTGTTGCAAGGAGGTAGAAATCACTATTATAAGTACATAGTCAACACAGATGTCTTCGCACATAGACAAAATGGATGTGTATGCATAACTCTAGCTGCCTGCAATTATTTGCAATGGGTGACATTGCGCTGCAGGGACAGTTACAGATTTCAGCTTTAAAGTGCAAATAGGTTCCATGTTTAGCAGCCTGAGTTATGTTAATCATTTGTCTGGTTATTGTTTCAATAAATAGGACAGTCATTTTGCACTCTATCATAAGACAGTAGTAGAACAGTTTGGGTCTGAAAGTGCTGATGTTTTGGTTAGAAGTCTTATCTGTCTTACTTACTTTCTATTGATCTATTCAAGTATTGAGCTGAAACAATTACTAAATTAATAGTAGTAAATTAATAGTAATAAAAGTAATTGATTAATCTTAGTAACATTGCAATCATATTTTAGGCAAAAATGCTAAACAGTCGCTTTTCTCTCTTTCATGTTGATGTTAATCAAATATCTTAGAGCTTGGACTGTTAGCCAGACAAAACAAGCAATTTGAAAATGTCAACTTGGGCTCTGGGAAATAAAACTGGGCATTTTCCTCCTGTTTTGGTAGATTAATCCGTAATGAAAATAACTGTTATTTGCAGGCCCATAAACAACTGCTCATCCATTGTATCTGTCAGTGTAATTTTTCTATATCCATCCATGCAAGCTGTTGAATACAGTGCAGTAGAAAATAACATAGGGAAATGTTTTAAATATTAATGACATGTTCTCCACTCTAATGATATTTTATCCATGTACACTGGGGATCAAACATCTGAGACCACTTTCCTACACTGGTCTCAGACTTTTGGACCCCACTGTATCTATTCTTTTTATTTGAGACTGAAACAATTAATTTACATCCAACCATCCATTTTCTAAATACACTTATGCTAATTGTTTTACATCTATTAGCGTAAGATCATCTGTTTTCATTAGAGAGGCCTCTCCTGCGTTTTGGCCTGTTCCTGCTATATGTCCTCCTCTGCAGAAAATTTTAATAATTTTTGTCTTTAGTTGTTTGAAAGCATCACATGTATTTGAATTCATACTTGCGCAGCTTGTTGTTCATTGAGTGTTCACAGGGTAGGTGTTACAGTCAATGAGCTGTCTGTTTCTAAGATATAATACCTGCTCCATCACAGTCCATTATTGAAAGATGAGGGGAGACACTTCTCTCACTACTTTATCTTCTAATTAGCACACACAGTAGGCGGGAGGCTGTCAGATGTTCAGGCACAGACAGGCCACAGGGAATACACAGGCTCCTGGATGGTCTATAATATGTCCATATGAAAACAGATTGGCGAAGCCCAACCTTTACAGAGAGCACAGGTTGCAGTACATCAGAGGAAAACATGAACCATAAAGATGTTGTTAGAGATGGATTAGATAGAGCAATTACTTAGAAATGAAGAGGTTTCCAGGAAACGAAAATTCCATTTTCTGAGATGAAACAATGGAACAGCAGAATAAAATGATCAGATATTGCTTATCAACTTTGGTATTTTCTCTCTCTCTCTGTGTGTGTGTGTGTGTGCGTGCGTGCGTGCGTGCGTGTGTGTGTTTGGAGTGAGTGTGTGTGTGTGTGTGTGTGTGTGTGTATG